GTATAATTTACAGTTTTTTTTGTTTTGTTATTTTATGTTATGGTGTTACCCATTTTTGACTCGTCTTATCTCCTGGCATGTTATTGGTTATCGGTATCAGTTCTTAAAGTAAGTTAGCGTACATCCTTAATGCTGCGTATTGTTTGGTCAAATCAAGACAGATGCTTCTTGTTTCACCCCCAGGAGTGCACAGGTTCATTTAAAACCCCTTGCAGGTATCGTCTGCCCMTCTTTGGTTACCTGACTCACTGGTTTCCTTTGTAACCGTTGGTATGGWTAGTAGCCCCGCCCCCTGTCTGGTCTGAAAGCGATGTGCGTCGGCCTGCAGGAGGCTTTAGTCAAACGGCAGCTGTTTGTTTGGACAGGACGGTCAGGAGGTCTGAGTTTAACCTGYGAGGATAAGTTTACCTGATTAGAGATGAGTGACGGCGTGGAGCGCACCTGTTCACCTGCTCATTGTTGTCCTGGGCCACTGATTTGTCAAGGCCATCTGGACTCAGGAAGGTTAATTATTGATTATTGTTCCACTGAAAATATCCTCTGAAAGGATCAAATGTGTTTCTGGTTTGTCTTATTTTTGTACCAGAGTCAGAACATCATGAATATGAGATGCTGCTTCTTGCAGCCTGTGTTGATTTAAGACGTTGGTTCGTTTCGTTTTTCCTCATTTGCATGTTGGTYGTTCAGAAACCGGAGCTCACGCAAATGTTTTTGATCCCAGCGAACGTTCAACCGGTCGTCCCGTGCTCACTGACAGAACCGGTCAGGAAACAGACCATTTTATGAGACCTAATCATGTCAAAGATCACAAATCCTCTTTACGTCTGCAGGTTTGCCCAGTTCTTCCTGTGCCCGCTGTTCGATGAGAGCTGCAAGGACAGGGAGGTCAACGCCGTGGACTCGGAGCACGAAAAGAACCTGATGAACGACGCCTGGAGGCTCTTCCAGCTGGAGAAGGCCACCGGGAACCCAAACCACCCCTTCAGTAAATTTGGAACAGGTAGAAACCCTCGGTCGTTCTGACTGCAGGTGTGGGAGGAAACTGTAGTCTGTAAATAAAATAAACTTCATGCAGAAAGGACAAGATTCCACCTGGTGAAGTTTATATCCAGTAACCAGAATCAGTGGTCTGAGCTGAGAAACACCAGCTGATGGCAGTCTGCAGTTATTTCATCTCTCCTTCTACATCACATGGTTCTTTTTAGAGCAGTTTATCTCACATAAAAACGCAAACAATCGACTCACAATTATCATATAATGCTTTATTAGATTAAAATCTGTTCCAATCAATTAACTGATGACAGCAGATCTTTTGTCTTAAATAAATAAAAGCAGATATAACTGATTTAATCAGTTTTTGATTGGAGTCAACTGTAAACTTGAATCTATAAGCTGATTTGATTGATCCATAAGCCTTATTTTAATGCACTGCTTGAACTGTTTCAGGTAACAAACTGACGCTGGAGACCAGACCATCTAAAGAAGGCGTGGACATCCGTCAGGAGCTGCTAACCTTCCACTCCACCTATTATTCCAGTAACCTCATGGGTCTGTGCGTGTTGGGCAGAGGTGAGACTTGTTTCTGTAACAAACACACACTCTGCCTCAGCAGCAGTCAGGAAGGTCTCCCTCCACCTTTCAGAGTCTCTGGATGACTTGACCTCCATGGTGGTCAAACTGTTCGGAGAGGTGGAAAACAAGAACGTTCCTGTCCCAGAGTTCCCCGAACACCCGTTCCAGGAGGAGCACCTCAGGGTGGGTCACGTCCTGCTTTCAGACTGAAACGCCGACAGGTTTTCTCTGCATCTTGGAAGGATTTAACGTTTAAATTCTTCACTTTCTTTTACAGCAATTCTACAAAGTGGTTCCTATCAAAGACATCAGGAACCTGTATGTAACGTTCCCCATCCCAGACCTGCAGAAGTACCATAAATCTAACCCGGGACATTATCTGGGACATCTGATTGGACACGAAGGGCCGGGGAGTTTATTGTCTGAGCTCAAATCTAAAGGTTGATGACAGATGTGCTTTATTCATCGTTTGTTTCTGTTTGGACTGAAGAATGTTGGTTTCTTTCTTCCATCGTGTGATGCTGATAACCGTGTCGACTCTTTTAAAGGCTGGGTGAACACGCTGGTTGGAGGGCAGAAAGAAGGAGCCCGAGGATTCATGTTCTTTATCATTAATGTGGACCTGACTGAGGAGGGTCTGTGTGAGTACCCCCGAGCTAACGAGGCTAAAGGCTGTGGCGCTACGTTGCGGCTAACCATCGAGTTGTGTTTTTAAAACTTCATTACAGGTTATTATTATCCTGCATACGAAGCACGGGTCTTATTGGGGTCATATTGCGCCACCAAACGGTTTTACAATAGACCCCATATTTGAGGAAGGTCTGTGTGAGTATGCCTGAGCTAACGAGACTAACGAGGCTAAAGGTTTTGGTGCTACTCTGCAGGTAACCATTGAGCCGTGTTTTTAAAACAATTCTATGATTATTATGACCCACCGCACATGAAGCACGGGTCATATTGGTGGTCATATTGCGCCACCAAACGGTTTTACAGTAGACCCCATATTTGATGAGGGTCTGTGTGAGTACCCCTGAGCTAACGAGGCTAATGGCTGCATCGCAATGCTATGGCTAACTATCGAGTTGTGTTTTTAAAATTTCATTCTAGGTTATTATGATGCCCGCACATGAAGCACGGGTCATATTGGGGGTAAAATTGCGCCAGTCAATAGTTTTACAATAGACCCCATATTTGATGAGGGGGCTCCATCTGAAAASKGGGTCTGGACACAAAAAGTGCTTCTAACTCAAAAACTATTCAACATAGGACCTTTAGACTTATTTTGTTGTTTAGCTCTGATGAAGGGCTGTCCATTAGGCCCACCAATGATCCCCCCCAAATCAATAAATATTTCTATGCGGGGGTCATACATGCTAATGAGGTTTCTAGTTTCATTTAATAACTCCACCTACTTTAGACCCTTCTGTACCCACCGGGGCAGGTTAGGACTGGTTCTTGGGTGTTTGACCTGCTTGTTCACGGCTATAGCCTCAGCCTCTGCTTTAAGTGTCTTCAGGTGTGTGTTTCTGTGCAAAAGTCCTAATGCAGTAACGGAGGTGTGGTCTGTTCCTGCAGTACACGTCGAGGACATCATCTTTCACATGTTCCAGTACATCCAGAAGCTTCGCACCGAGGGGCCTCAAGAGTGGGTCTTTGAAGAATGCAAGGTGGTTTCAGTTTATTCAACCGACACAAATCTCTCCTGCGTTTCATGTTGTGACGTTTCGTTCTGCTCGTCTCCGTTTGTCTGCAGGATTTAAGCAAAGTAGCCTTCAGGTTTAAGGACAAGGAGCGACCCCGTGGGTACACCTCGAAAGTGGCGGGATTACTGCACGTAGGTTCCTGTTCCCACCGCCGGATCTGTGAGACGTCTGGTTCTGATAGGTTCCTCCAGTTTCACGCTGGGCTGTTTGTTTTTGGTCCTCCCCGCAGTACTACCCTCTGATGGAAGTTCTTGCAGCCGAGTATCTTTTGGAGGACTTCAGGCCCGACCTGATCGAGATGGTGCTCGATAAGCTCCGACCAGAAAACGTCAGGTTAGGAGGACACGAGTGGCCTCGGTTCCTAACATGGTCACATTGTTCCTGTTTGTGTTTGACTCGAGTGTGGAATAAATAAGAAGTGATCATTTTAAATGGTAAAAACAAGTCTGTCTGTTTTTATTGGTGCAGAGTTGCAGTGGTGTCCAAGTCATTTGAGGGGCAGACAGACATGACAGAGGAGTGGTACGGCACACAATACAAGCAAGAAGCTATTTCTGAAGAAACCATAAAGGTAAAACTCTCCTCAGATCTCTGCAGCTGTTATCTGACTGGCCTGCTCATAAATTAAAATACTAAAGGGATCCATGATTAGTTGTAACATTAGACTTTATTTCAACTGTAAAATA